ACGGGGCTGACGTGGTGTTTCTTCTTATTATCTATTTCTTAAATATCTTCTTCTTTTTTTTTCTGACCATAATTTTATTCTTAAAAATATACTTTTGGTTGTCATGGTAATGATAGTAGCACACGTTAATTGTCATTACCCCCGGACTGAGGCGATTGCAAAGACTTTTTAAAAAATATTAAAAAATTAGCGCAATTGAAATAACCTTATGTTCATTACCTTTTGAAACATGTGAGCATTACATGTCGTTTGGAAAGACATTAATCTACATTTACCACATTCCACCCAGGTGAGGTAAATGGGTATTAATGCTTGAGTGCATTTGTATGGTAGAGCTAAAGCCTGGGTAATACTGTGATTGCAGGGGCCACATGAAGAACAGTATCAATGCCTAGGTAAACAAGACATATTATTATCATCATTATAAATCATTACTACAATAACGTATTACATAATCCGAGCATGATAAGCACTGCAATGATATTGAATTTACACTTTGGTTGATTTCTAAAATGTCTTGAGATCCTTGTTGATATTTGTAGCTTTCTGTTTGAGAACATATCAGTTAGACACAATTAGACGATAAGTCAAGAACGAATAAGAATTTATTTATGATGAAGAAAATAAATCGATCACAACGAGTCCTCTCTTATCCTCATTTATTAAGAAAGGCAAAATTTGTAGCTAGATTTAATTTGATAAAGATCAGAATTAATCGAATAGATCAATGATGTAAAGATTCATCATAAGAGCTATAAATAATCGAGTTGTCCGTCGATCGGGATCTGTGATTTTTATGCACCTGTAGTTTGATTGTTTTGGGAAATTAAGATCGATACATTTTGATTCTATATGTTTCAACAAATGATCTTTTTTCACGATAAATATCACCGATGGCAAACAATCAATAATGAAATGAAACTCGTTCTGTGAATAAAGATGATTTTCTTCTATTTTATCGCTGAAAACAATTAAATTATATTGAGGGTAGGTTTGTGATTCAACTTGAGTATCAAGTTTTGTAATAAAATTTGTAAAAAACCTATCTGACTTTCATTCTAATCAGCTTTAAAGGGCTTTATGAATACTAATGAGCTAATTGTGCTTCCTTGCTAACAATTCATTTTTATACGTAAAGTGTCCTTTTCGGATATAACTAAACCTTATCTTTTTTAATCTTATTATAATTAATATTTTCATAATTTCGACATAGAATTATGATAATAATTATAATTATAAAAATAAGATTGCAAGGGGCCGAATCCACTTGACATCAAAGGCTCAAGGCGCATACGTTAAAGACGAAAAACAGTATAAATATTATCTAATAGTGATAACTATTAATGATTTTAAAAGGGAAAAAACGATCTTGCGGCTAGTCTCTTTACCAAGAGGTATGAAAATATATCCAATGTTCCGAAACACCTGCGAAATAATGCATGTTTATATCGCAGGCCTATAGATTTTTTACGTAAATGTCAAAGCCAGATATTCTTGCCAATAATCCGCCATTTTCAGGTCATTCCAAAATGTCACCAGGCTACTCGATGAATATTTGCTCGTCTGTGTGATTTCACCTATGGTCAGTCTGACGAAGCATGTATTTTGTAATACTAAGGTCTGTAGCAATATTTCATTTGTATGCGTATGGATGCGTAGGGACTATAGGGAGGCACACTTAAATTGCAAATTGGATTTTATTTTCATTATAATTGCCAAGAGGAAGACCGGACAGAAATGACCAGCTTGACCGTGTATCAAATTAAATAATAATTTAATAATCAAAACCAATCAATCATTTTGATTCACTCTCTCTCTGTGTCTCCCCCCCCCCCCCCTTTCAAAATCAGTCCCTGTGTCCCCCAGCCGCCCTCGATCTCTCTATAATATGCTATTTATCTCTTTATCTCTTCTTAATCACTCTCCTATTATTCTCTATTCCCCACCCCCAAATCCTCAATCTCTCTCTCTCTCTCTCTCCTTCCATCCCAGTTTCTCTGTCTTTCTCCATCATGTCTCTGTGTCCACATTTCTACCCTTTCCACCTTCCTAGTACACTCGCTCTCTTTATCTACAGCCTCTATATTATCTGTGTGTTCTCTCTTTTTTCTAACCTTTATCAATCCAGATAAATTTAGTTTTGACATTTACGGTTTCTTAAAGGTTCGGTAGTAATTGAAATTCCTCGTCCAAGTAATCCACGATTCATTAGAAACCATTATTTTCTATTTCCAAGTCTGTCTTATGTTACCGTCAATGTCGACACATCCGATAAACATTCGAAAACAGTCAATGGATTTTCCAGGACGTATGCTATGCAATGTGTTGTGCAAAATTAATTAAGATAATGATAGGAAAGCTGCAAGCATTTCCCATAGCAATTAATCTGACACAAAGGGAGAGTTATGTAGCACGTAAGCATTCTAAGCTGTTTTGCCACCATCGTAATCAAGCCATAAACTGCGTTATAAAACAACAAGCTCGTTTGCCATGCACTTTGACGTGCTGTGCAATTAGTCAGGACTGAATACGAGTAATTATACCATCCTTAGGGCTTTGTGATGGCTATTAAAAATTGAAACTTTGGCCAATTTGTCAGATTACTATAATTAATCGGCAGAAGTTTATAATGCAATTTTTTCTTCTTGTCTGGCTGACGGCTTGTTGAGCTTTAAAACAAGGATCGGATGAGGGGGAGAGGGGGAGAGAGATAGATAGAGAGCGACGGGTAAGAGGGTGGGTGGTAGATGAAATACAAGTCTTGGGCATCGTTGGAAGGAGAGGTGGTTTGGGAAATGTCATAAAGTTTATATATAGTACTAAATAGGAAGAGATAGTATTTAGGAATGGAGAAATAAAGATAAGGGGTTTTTGAAGGTGAGAAAAGATGCCAAAGACTCATACCTCATCTACCCCCCCCCCCCTCTCCTTTCACAAAACCCTCTATCTTTCCCCGTCTCTCTATATATGTCTATATCTCCCTCTCTCTCTCTCTCTCTCTCTCTCTCCCTCATCCGATCTCAATTCTAAATGAATGTTCTCTATCCATTTTTATATTCATGTCTTCTCATTCTAAAAATATGTACTGTGAATATGGATAAAACATTAATTCCTCAAAAGACATAGTCTACATCTGTGTTCCTCATCGATTTATGTTCCTTGTTTCAGAGCCCAACAAGCCGTCAGCCAGACAAGGAGAAAAAAATGCATTAAAAATTTCTGCCGATTAACTATAGTACTCTGACAAATTTTCTAATAGCCACCACAAAGAAAAGCATAATTACCTATTTTTCACCGTGCCATCTGAAGAATGAATAATAAATAATGATGATACATCACTGTCATCATTGAAATTATGACATTGATATATAGGTCATAATCATAAAGATCATTTATCAACGTGAAAATATACTATAGGTTATTCATACTCTCTCTTTCTTTTTTTATCCCTAGGGGAAAAAACTAAACGGCATAGGCTGAGAATTTAGTGTGTTTTTTCTAGAAAAAATTACCCCAAAATGAATTAACTAAAACAGAAGGTATAACCGATCTTTCAGTTGATATATTGACTTGTATATACTGTAGATAACCTATTGTTTAGCATCATAATATATGTCATGGTCTATCAACATCAAATCGATTTTACGTGCAAATCTAATCAAATTTTTCAGATGACACGGAACTAAATCAAGGAATATATTATGAAGGCCTATATATAGTCGGAAAAGATAGCGAGATGTATTCCAATATACGTGTCATAATATATAGTCCCATTGTCATATAAGAATATTTCTACTATACATGTACAAACTGCGAGCACAAATACAGCATTCTAAGAAAGGTCATGCAATCATTTTGTTGCGCTCTTGACAAGATATCCAAAACCTTGAAGCATTTCTACCACGTACTTGAACGTAATAACAATAGTTCTTCAATATTACAGAAAATTACCTTCAGCCCTCGACAATAGCAGGTTTCTATGGCAACGGATGAGTTGTGTGTGTGCTATTGAAAGAGTTATGACGTCGGCATTGTGTAGCGTCTTAGAGTGTAGGACCTGCATACATTATCATTTTTGAATGCATGAAGATAATATAGTGACCACTCAACATGTATCATTCGAGATAATAATTCATGATTGATATTCATGTATATTCAATCAGAGACAATTTAAGAAGAGGTAATTTTACAAGCAATTTGCGAGGTATAGATGTCCAACAACTAGAAAATAATACGGTACAGCTTAACAAAGCACAGATACATATGAAAAACTATTTTATATAAGCATCAATACAGAAGCTCTAAGGGAAGGAAGATTAAGCCCTACTATAACAAAAAGGGTTCCTGATGATGCTTAAGAACGGGAAAGAAAGAGGGAAGAAACTGGAGAAATCGTATGGATATACACGTATAAATATTCATTGTATCCTACGGCAGGGAGTTCCCTATCGCCACACTATATGTAGTGGCGGTTAGAGGTTTGAATAAATGAGTTTATTTGACTACCTTGATGCCTAAATTATACGTTTTCATTTTGCTTAAATTGTACAATCAGAGCATGTGGCAATTGACTAGAATAATAATGATATTATGAAATAAGATATTTTGTGTGAATAAGTGCAGTGTATAAGAGAGTGCATTAGATGAATGAGTCTGAGATATTATAAGCATGAAAAATGAATATGTAGAATATCCACACTCAAATACAGGGTAAAACGTGCACTGAGGACTTTTTGCATTTTATATTTTACCCTACTTAGTTGATATTTTACCCATTTTTAAGTGACTATTCAATATCTTTTCCATAATAGGGCAATGCATTACTAAATTGTTTTTTTTTTTAAATGTCCAAATATTTTTGCATTCATTATTGCTTTCGTGCTGGGCAAATTTTTACACAACATTTATAAGCATACTATAGTAGAGTAAACATGGAAATGGAAGCCCGAAAAAATATTGGGGGTACATGATATGAATCCTATCATTCCAATCAGGCAGACACCACCCTACCGACATCATGGATCCTTATGAAGTGGACGACGAGCCACGTATGGTGTCCCGTAACCCCATGCTCATCCCGTGTTTCCTCGCGGTCGATTACATCTGCATGGCTGGCGTGGTCGTTCTGTGGTTCGTCCTCCTATTCACGGAAAACCTCCCTGGGCCGACTCATCGTGGATTTTGGTGTCATGATCGTAATCTGATGATGCCCTACTTGGAGGATGATATCTTCACGGAGGAGGTGCTCTATGTGACCTGTTTTGCTGCCCCGCCCATTATGGTGAGCTTTAACCCTTTGAAAACTGAATTCTGTCATTTCCATTTGCTTAGTACATGAATAACCCTGTTCCCATAGGTAAAGCTCTAATTTACGTCCTGTTTATCGCCCTGTTTTTTTTTTTTATAAAAATCTGATCTAGAGCCGACTCCAATATTAGGCAAAGGAACTATTCAATAGACTACAAAGAATGTTTGGATTTGTAATTATTTCCATAGTTGATTGTTCATCCTTTAAATTTTATTTTTAGATTCATTCATAAAAAGGGAGCAACCGTGTCAGAACATAATGTGAACCTTTCGTGTTGGTATGGTGATGTTCCTCACACCACTGCCTAAAAGATTATGATTAGGAAGTGACCATCCAAACAAGAAGTAGGCCTATGAGTATACATCTCTTAAGGTATTGCAGTAAAATTATAGATAATCAATATGGGTACATACACAAAATGTGAATATGTATTATTAACCCCCTCTCCCTTCCCCTATCATCCTTCCCCATGAATGCACTATTCTTCCAAACCCAGATCCTGTACGGAGAGTGCATGCTGGCCCTCTGTTCGTGTAAGAAGACATCGCCTGAGATGAAGGTTGGGAGGAGAAAGGTCGTCAAGAGTTGTTCTCTCAAGCTTTACCCGGTCATCAGGAGGATGTTCAGATTTACAGGTAACTTACCAGGTCAATTTGTTTGACCCAAGTCTTGTTGCAGAAGGAGTTTACCCGATTGCCTTGATGATTTAGATAAGTTTGCTAGCCAAGCCTCCCCGGTCTCTCTCAAAACCATACAAATACAAGCTCTGCTTTTAGAGTATTTTTTTTCCTTTAAAATTAGACTTAATTTATGATATGCTTATAATATTCTGTATCCTAAATGCTTAAATTACTTGTCGATATTTAAGATTAAATTTCATTTTATATGTTATATTGCCATTGCCATTTGCTATTTGATATTCATGTTATGTAAGCATTTTTTCTTTCTTTTCTTTTTCTTCTTTTTTCTTTTTGAGGAAGCCACACAAATACAATCTCTGTTTTTAGTTGATTACGCTTTTCCTTCGAAATTCTGCCTAGTTTACGATATTATTTTGTATCCTAAATGCTTTAAGATGTACTTTCATTTTATATGTTATATTGCCATTTGTTATTCATTGTATTTTAGCATTATTTTCATGTTTTTAATGAGTTTTTTTTAAAATTTAATATAATTTAATTTAATTGCCAGGTGTCTTTGCTTGTGGAGCCTTTGCCACATGGATCATCACCGATGCTGCACAGAGAGTTACAGGAATACAGACGCCATACTTCTTGACCGTGTGTCGACCAAACTATACAGCTCTCGATTGCAACACATTCATCACCGATTATGAGTGTGTAAAACGGGATGATGATCTCCTGGAACAAGCTAGGTAAGGATGATGATCTATTTGTTTGTTCATTCTTTCTTCATCCATTAAGTCTTATCCTCCTCCTTCTTCTTCATCTTGCTCCCGCCCTTCACAATCTTCTTCGTTTTCATTTTCCTTTTTTCTGCTTCTTCGTCTTTTTCATTTGTTTTCATGCCATGTGATTTTCTATTTATTTCATGATTGATTTGGGGGAATTTTTCAACGCTTTTTTCTTGTATACTTTCATCTTCGTTTCATTTTTTTGTCGATGTTTTCTTCTTTTCCATCTCCATGTTCTGTTCCCCAGACCACCTTTGATCATTATTACATTTTATAGCTGTTGATGTATCGACTTGTCTCACTTTGCTAGGCTTTAGAATTAGAACTATACCTATGAATACATATACGAAAATAACATCATAATTATCCGCATTCTGCCAAGGTGATGATGACGCTGCATGAACATAAAGCATAAATTACTTTTAAAATAAAGATATACTATTTTATAGGTCTCGCGCTCTCAATAAGGCAGAGCGGGACAAAAAATATCATCAACACACAAACAAAATTCATATAGCCTACGTCAGCAGAGAAATATGCTGGCAGGGATACCTGTTATGGTGACATGATAACAGCCCTCGTTAAGATCTAATTAAGTTGCATGAGGAATTCTCATCTCTTTTTCCTCCTCTCTCTCCTCAGGCTATCATTTCCTTCGCTACATGCATCTCTAGGTTCATATGCTGCAGTCTTCACCATGGTAAGACAATCACTTATGTTGGTAGCTTCATGTTAAAGAGCAACACCACCTTTTCGTAATACCACAAAAGTAATATTGATTCTAAAGAATGTATAGTAATTTTTCATTAATAAAACCGAGAAAATGATTGCAATTCGATCTCCTACTAAGGGATTTATTCAATTATCGATTCCCTATGTATTCAAGTTTTTTTGTGAAATTCTTTTCGATATAATCCTTATTAATTGAAATCAATTAAATTCAAATTTATCAATCATCCGTTACATGAACACGAATATAAAAAGTACTGCATGCATGAGATAGATTAAACATATAAAAAATGATTCATTTAAAATACATACAGTAGAAGTCATCTGAACAAATTATTTCAAGCAATATACAAAATAACTCTTTCCTTGTCATGCACCGTGTTCTACGCTCTTACCCATCCTCGCTTCCTTTCCGTTTAGTTATTTACTTTCCCTCCTCTACATATCCAAAAGTGAATCCATAAGATCATGAAAATGAGAGGGGTAAACCTGCTACCAACGAACGACAATTTAAATAATTATAATGTCACTACATGTCTCTTTATCACTCAATTTATAATTTATTCCGTGTAAATACGTTACATTCATTTTATTTACCTTGCCATATTTTTAATGTTTTTTTATTTTGTTAACTATAGGGCCACGCTCACCAGCTTAGCTTCTAAAGGGGTCCAAAAACCATTCATTTTGTGATGTATTCAAATTGTATGTTGATTAATGTACTTTTATCAATCTCTTTTTTTTAAAAGATTATCTCATGTTTTGTGTGGTTTTGAATAAAATGAACTTGAACTTGAAACTTGGTATCATCAGGCCTACATGACAAGTCAAGTGAGCATTCCCTGTACGAGGCTGCCCATCCCACTGGCGAGTTTGGGTCTACTTTCGGGAGGGCTCCTCTGGGGGATCACAAGAGCCTCGAAGTATCGGCATCACTGGAGTGATGTCGCGGTGGGTTTCCTGTTGGGTATGGTGGTGGCGCTGTACTTGGTAAGCAACCAGAGCCATTTATACACAGAGATTGGTTAACGCAGTTTCTGTGGATACCATGATCGAAACTACTTTCGAAAAATCAACCTAAGGCGATTTAAAGGTATTACAAAGTTTTGGTATGAAGTCATGAATTCGGTTCAAATGAACATATTGGAAGCATATGCGATCCTACAATATTCAGCGATCGTCGTCGCGGTTGAAATCGAGTCTATAGTTATAAAAATAACATAATAAACTCTTTATGTTGTATAGCTCCCTCTCAAGGTCAAGATATTAATTAAGCTATGAAACGATGTTTCTCAACTAAAATCGACCGATTAGCTATTCCCGTTTGGAAATAATATATCACAACTACATATTCTGAGATTTTTATGGTCGCAGCTACCATTAATTTTGTACGGCTTTAGGCGCCTTTTGAAATTCATCACAATTTACCGGGCCGGAGCACCGGTAAATTTTTATATTCAATTTATCTCGAAAGCAGAAGTGTTTTAGGGGCTAAATTTTCTAGTGCTTATAATACATCTAAAGGGGCATCCAAATATATCAAAATTGTATAGAATGACTATCCACCCAATTTTCAAAATTTCCCAAAACTTTGTATTACCTTTAAGTAGCCTTGTGCGTCACCTATTGAAATGTGAGAACATGACAATAACGCATTACGTAATCCGAACATGATTTCTAAGGGATAAACAAAAGGGTAGTGAAATTGCTATTGAGCTAACTTTTTGAAAGTAATTCAAGGGCTCATTCATGTTTGCCTGTTAAGCCAGTTAACCAAACTCTGAGTATAGATGGCTGTTAAATAAAATTTAAGTTCAAAATTAAATTATAAGCTGGTGGTTATGTTATAACATCTACCATGTGGGAGATACAGCAACACCTAAACATTTGCCTATAAAGGCAACTAAAGTATCAATCGCATATCTTTGACAGAATAATCGCAAAATAAGAACAATCTTTAAATGTTGCTATTTTTCTATTTTCTGTAGAAGACGTTGCTTACCCCGTTTCCCAGTTGACACCAATTTATCCTTTATCATTGCCTGTAAACTGTACATATTGATATTCCGACTTGAATATCATGATTACGTATTATTGTCTTGAACATTTTAAGGTATTTGCTGTACTGGCGTGTTTTGAAGAGCGCCCCCAAGATGACCCAAACAACCTGCCGAAGAAATCATCCAGTCCAAAGCGTTCGTCGCCTCTCTCCTTGATCAGATTGCCGAGACTACGGGCATGTAATGGGAGCCTTGCTGCACAAGTGAGTTGTCGTGTTCTTTTATGTGAAGGCAGCCTTTAATTTTGGTCTGTTCCAAGCAGTGTATGTTGTTATTGTGGCTCTTCTTCTTCTTTTCATTCTTTTTCTTCTTTTTCTTCTTCATCTTTTTTGTTCTTTTTCCATGTTTCACTATATCTTGAGTAGGCCAGACAATTCTGTTGAGCTTTCAACTAAATTTGTGGTATGGTGTTGTGGTATGAGTCCTGCTCGAGATAACCAATACGATTACTTATCTTTACCTAATCCACCATGAAAGATATTCATTTTACCAGAATCGTCATCTGCCTCATAATAATTCAAGACATGTTTGCTAATTATAAGCTAGAAAGTATAATGTTAATAGATTCATACCTGAGTAAGATCAAAAGACCTTGCAGAATTCCATTTGATTGACTCTACTGGAGCATAATTTGGTACCTTTTCAGAGAAGCAAGTTTTAGAATATGATGACATTTTTAAAAAATAGTTTACATTTTTCTTTTTTTTTCTTTTTTCTTTCTTTCTGTAAGTCAATAAGGTGCTTCTTTTTCTATCAGATTAAAAATAGAACATCTGTTGACACTTTCAAAGTGCAGAAACAGTAACTGAAAGCGAATAATCGAATGTTGGTATGTCTTTTTCCACCATTTTATCTAAACGAAAGCATAATTACACTCACAACATAATTGTTCCTTTTTTTTTCTTCTTCAGAATGGCCAAGCGACCTTCCACAATCCGTCTTTTGTCGGCGATAGTTTACGGAGAGACTACTAAATCTATGAGCAACTGCTTTGTCGATCAAAACGTATAATTTGCAGAAAGCGTTGTAACACCTTAGTTTGTAACCATTATAAAGTAATGAATGCATCCTCTATTGTTTGTGTGGAAACGATGGTGTGCGTGCAGGTATGTGTGCGCGCGTGTGCGGTGTGTGTGTGCGTGTGTGTGTGTGTGTGGGTATGCGTGTGTGCGCGTTTGTGTGTCTTAGACCGTGTAGCTGAGCTTCGTTCCCGAAGATTTTGTCAGAACTTATCTATTGCAAGATCGTTGATGACTTATATAAATAGTTATATATATATATTATATATATTTATTGTTCAAATGTATACATGTACTGCATTACAGAGGTGTGGGTTTGTGGCCAAACTGAATAATGTCATAAAGGCTTTCTCTTCAAAATACTGACTTGCTGCATGTAGAAGCTAAACAGAATTTCATATAAAGTGCAAAGGTTCACCCTATATAATGTCGAGAGTATAAGCAAAACAAACTCGAGAAATGAACGTATTGGGGATTTTAAAGAAGAATAAATAATGTTAAAATCGTATTTTGATTTTTAACTAATTATTTAGAGTTAGCTGATGATGTGACTCTTTGACTTGCCCCCCCCCCCATCACTGTTGTCACACATGAATGTATGTCTCTCTCTCTCTCTCTCTCTCCCTCTCGCTCGCTCTCTCTCTCTCTCTCTCTCTCTCTCTATTTCTCTCTCTCTCTCTCTCTATTTCTCTCTCCTTCTCTCTCTCTCTCTCTCTCTCTCTCTCTCTTAGTAAGTCGGTATTGATGTGGGTGTGTTTGTGTCATTGTTTACAGTCTCTGTATAACAGTCCGTCCGTCTTTCTATGATTATCATGTTCATGTGTGTATATATATCTCTGTTCTAAATGATGATCCCTTTTTAAATATTTTTTCTTTTCCTTTTGGTCTCTATTCCTTTGTTATTCATTCTGAAATTACTTTTGAGAGGTTTTATATTCGATGTATCGGTTTGTTTGTTTGTTATTCTTAATTTATGTAGCAATATTTTATTTTCAAAGTAGGAGGTTTAAAAAGAATCACGAGGAACATAAATTTCTCAAGAAAGAGGTGTATGTTATTTTTATTTATCTATAAAAATGTTTATTATTGATGTAATTTAAAAGGAATATATTTGAATGTTAATTGAAGAACAAAGGCACTTGTTTGATTGCAAGTTGGGTAATTAACAAACAGTATTTTTGATGTATTTTACTGAAAACTAATGCATGCAATTCAGATGTTCATAATATTTATTAAAACTATACTCACTAAACGTTCGACATGAATACACATATCACAATTAACTCAACATGTTTACTATGCAATTACCACTCTCTCTCTCTCTCTCTCTCTCTCTCTCTCTCTCTTTCTCTCTCTGTTTTTTTTTTCTCTCTCTCTCTCTCTCTCTCTTTCTCTCTCTCTCTCCTCTCACTCTTTGACTCCCCCTTTTCCTTCTAATTATATCTCTTGTTCTACTTACTCTTCTCTCCCTTGAATCCCTCATTCTTTTGTATATATTCTTCCTTTCATTTCGTCATTCAGTCAATATGCTTTTCTCCCTTCGTTAACTTTCTTCTCCAATTCTCCAAGTCTAAGATTGATTTTTTTTTAATCTGCTTATTTACACTTAATAATCAAATTTTATTTGCAATTCAGTATACATGTTGGTACTTGAACTCTTTTTTCAAAACTGTTATTTACATGCATTGTATAGTAAAATAATTTCACTCATGATTTGATTCATCTACAAGGTATTCTATCGTCATTTCTCATATACTGTTAAATGTTTTATTGTAATATTTCATTCAACAGTGATACTAAAAAGACCGTGATTTGTTTATGCACATTCATACAACAAACCGTTGTCTTGGAAGTTTTTAAAAGCTTTCCATGCTTCTCCGATAAAAAAATTATATATGCAATTAGGATTACATGCATAATGTGCTATCATACAAAGTAGTTTTAATAAGTAACCCGTCATTAAAGCTGGGCGATAACACCCCCCCCCCCGGCCCACCTTTAAAGTTGGATATTGGCGACTGAATGCTCTGTTTCATCATGGACCTATAGGTCCATGGTTTCATCAACCGTTTTATCCATTAACGAAATTAAGACGGAACATGCTTGTTGCAATGTCGTCTGTCATCACAAAAGTGAATATTGTTTGGATTAATAAAAATAGACTTATAAATTTTACACCTTTTCGTATCTTCTTTATTATAGACAAATTATGTTTGAAGACATCGATTTTGAATTTAATTAAAACAAGATTTTTTTTCATGTTGATTTCTACTTTGGTAAAACGAAACAATTAAAATAATAAGGCTCTAAATGGTGATCATTACAACAACAAAGAAACAATTAATTCATCTGTTATACCTTCAAAATCTTAATTTTCGTTCCTATATCTCGAGAAATCTACCGAACGTTCTAAAAAGCATTGGTTAAAGAGACGAGGCAGAGCCAGACAGTGGGACATAGTGTATGAAAATGAGTGGAAGGAATATGGTAAAGAGAGTGGGAAGCGAGCAGAAGGAGGGACAGACAGAGAGAGAGAGAAGAAGAAGGAGGAGGGAGGGGGAGGAGGGGAAAGAGGAAGAAAGAGACTGACATAAAGAAAGAGGGTGAAGGAGAGGAAAGAGAAGCACTAGAAGATGGACGAAAGAAAACGAATGAGAGAACAGTGTGAGAGACTGAAAGATAAAGGGAAAGATATGGAGAGAGAGGGATGAGAGCAGAGAGGGTGTGTGTGTGTGTGTGTGTATGTGTATGTGTGTGTGAGAGAGAGAGAAAGAGAGAAAGAGATATAGAAAGAGAAAGAGAGAGCACGAGAGAGAGGGGGAGATGGGGGAGAAAGCGAGAAAACAAATAGAGAGAGCAAGTTGCATTCTCAATGTGCACAAAGTATTAAAAACGAACTTTAATAGGGGATCTTTCTTTACCCCGAGATTACTCCTATTCAAAGTAGAACACAATGCTCTACTCCGTTCCTTATAATAATGAACATGGTGAAGGAGAATCAATATTTGTCTCTTGACATGATAACAAAATCGAGGCCCATTCATGTCATTGTTTTGATGTCATATTCTTAAATGTATTTATACAATGTCATTATGTCATACTTTGACATGTCGGGCTGATAACCATCAGTAATTCGTGTTCTATGAAGGAGAATTCCTACCAGGCCTTGGTTACGTCGCTAAGCAACATGAAGCAATTACGTTCAGAATACAGTATCCGTCAACTCGCCTGGTGTATTATCATTATACACCATACAATACCATGTCCAAGGATAAGTGCTCTAAATAACAGTAATTACTGCCCTGATAAGAACAATATATATCAACTAAATTTTAAAAGGGAAAAAACAATCATGCATTTGCTGTTGCTTATTTATTTGTTATCGATCCAAGTAAATCATACAATTTAATTATACTCTTCTAAGCGATTATCTATGTAAGCGAGTGTTTTCCTCATCAAATTCGTATTTAGAAATTGTGGAGCATTGAAATCAAAGCCCATAAACGCTATATTGATACGCTCGGAAATCATTTTCGTCATAATATGGTACATTTCAGTTGATAAATCAGTGAACAATGATGCTTTTCTCTTCCCCTGCGATTCTTCTCCCTTTTAAAATTGATTAGGTCTAGGCCTAAAAAACATAATTGGATATTGAGGATACACATAATTTAGATTCGTAATCTGTTGAACATTGTGCTCAGAGTTTTCAAGAAGAAAAAATATCTACATTAGAAAATTAAACATGATGTGCTTCTATTACTATAGGGGTTACATACAACTGAATGGCTGCGATCATTCACATCAAGTTGATAAACCATTAAATGGTTTCGTGCTCATTAGAAAGAACAAAACAATTGCAATATTAAACGTTAAAGAATGTGAATTATGCAATTAAGAATTGGATAATCCTTAGTTATGGCAAGAGATTAATCACATTCAAAATCGACGAAAATTTCCACCATCCAAAGTTCGAATTTCACTGGTACAATGTTCTTCCTAAGGTCTCTCTTTTGCTTTGATATATATGAAACCGTTACAAAACAGGTTCAATCTTTGAAGTGCTTCTTTTGTTCTTTGTAAGTCTATCAAATAAGATTTTAAATAATTTTCATATGCTTAAAGCGATAATCAATCCCAACATCAATGCTAAAAGTAGGACTAAATTGTGTTTGGATCTCATTCGAAGTAGACACCGTAAATCGTTGCCACGCAGAAGACGGATGCATTTTGGAAGCGGTAACTCACAAACGAATCCCTGGCTGGGTCCCACGAATTCCTGCTACAAACCTGCAGCCCCTGGCCGTGCATCTTACCAATGTGTACCAGGGTAATCAGCTTGTACCGATCGATGTCGAGGGTCTTCACACGTTCCTTGATGATCTCTGACAGCTCCTCCGCCTCCTTCGAACACAGCTTCGGATCGTACTTCATCCCGGTGAGTCGAGACTCGACCGTGCTTTCTATGATGTCACGAATGACGCGGACATAGCTCGAGAACAGCTCTCGAGGCTCGAGCTGGTACGTGTTTTCGATCTGTGGGAGGTGCTTCGCGCTTGGTGATCGACGGCGAGGACGATCCATGTACGACACGAAGCTGACTCCTCGTCGATCAGCGAGTCGTTGAGACGTCCGCTGACGAAGCGATCTCGCCATGCGCTTGGCGATCATCAAACTCTGAAAACTTTGTTTCAAATTCATCATGTCTTCTCCGCCTTCGCCGGGCTTCTTTTTAGTAGACGACGCGGATCCCTGGTTGACCCCCGCAGCGGCGGACATCTTTCTTGAGTGCGATGACGCATTGGAAGCTACGCTTATCTTTCTAGCGGTCGTTGGTGCGACTTGGTCGTTGGTTCGTGATACCTTCCGCTGTGGCATGCTGCCTTTCGTTGTCGACGCGGTCGATGACTTTGTGGTCGATTGTGGAGCCTTTTTTCTACCCCCAGCAGACATCATTCGTGACGAACTGGACGACGCACTCGGTGACTTTCTTGCACGGGTGCTCATCCTGTAAAATCCTTTAATAAACGATGTGAGATTCAAAACATGAGGGCAGCTATCCAGGCGTGCTTTGAAGGGAACGGTACAATTAGTTGTTATAGCAACCGGATAATGTTGTAGAGTTGGAGGTTACAGATCCCGCAGGCTAATAATCATGCTATCACAATTAAGAAACTCAATCCAAAATCTTCAATGATGATTATATTCCTTTTCAAGTCTTAATTTTCTTTTGAAATGAAAAAGTGTTTCAGGCAACATTCTCTTCGTATCTTTATAAGTTCAATTGCAAAATTGTCAGAGTAATAAAATAGATGAGGCTTGTGGCGACCGTAGCAAAGAAAGAGAGTGAATAAAAATGATCGTGGAAACCGACGTCGTTAATTTTCACTTAATACCTCGCTAAAAGGCGATCACATTATGTTAACTGATCTCTCGTCGTCGAAACAAATGTTTGGGTTCTCATGGACGGAGGCGTCCACAAACTCATATCACACCAACAAATTCCATTCACCTATTGAGTGTCTTCCCTGATACGCCGTTTCAAGAGCAACTGCTCATGTATACAGATCAAGTTTCGTTGGGCAATGAACATCAGTTCTGAAAAGCGCGAAAAACAAGCTTAGCATTTTGGAACGGCTTCGCTCGTCTGCGAGGACCCGGCTTCACAACATGTTTCCCAAACTCATTTAAGTTCCTATAGGATAAATTTACATTTTGACACTAAGTGACTTCAGAAACAGATGCTGAATTAAAGATTAAACATGTCCCGGTTTAATTATACATTTGAGGAAATTTTGTTGATATTTCAAATAATGTACACAGACTTTATACATACATAATAATAATAATAATAATAATAATAATAATAATAATAATAATAGTGGGTTCTTGTTAGATTGCAAAAAATATTCCCCCGTGACATGAGCGTACCCAGGGGGAGGGGGCGACCGTCCCCACCGCCCCCCCCCAAAAAAAAAAACACACAAAACAACAACAACAACAACGCCGGCCAAAAAAAAGAAGAGAGAGAGAGAGAGAGAGAGGAGAGAAAAAAGTTAATGGACGTAGGGAGAAAATGAGCTGACAAAGAAACGTTTTTGAACAATTCAAAAAGACAAGGATTTTATGAGAGTCGAGAATGGTACAACGAATCGTTTTCTTTCTTTAATAATTTAATGGAACGTCAAAGGTTCTCCTGCCCTGCACCCACCCCTTAGGGAGCGTGCTCACTACCGCCCCTTAAAAAAAATCCTAGTTACGCGCTTGCCCCGTGAAAATAAACGTAGACCCTTTTGAATATTCCTGCAAATATGCAACCCATACCTTCTGCAGAAGAAGGGATTCTTGTTCAGTGTATTCTGTGAAAACGGGTCTGTTAATGTTTGGACTGGACAAGGATAAGTATGCACTTAACATTTTAGAAAAGAAAGATTTCCCCTCAGGTTTGTTTAAGGGATAATGGTGCACTGCGTGTTCTGATTCTTCGTGTCACCGAAAGAACTGTAGGTATTATCGTTTCCCTTTTGTTGGCGAACTTTATCTACTATCACAACGCTCCGAGCTATTCCTTAGAACTTAAAGAGGCAAATATTAAGCAAAAACCTATTTTTCAATATATACATGCAGTAACTTATGAATTAATTATAATGAAGAATAATAGTTGTATTATCTAAAAATATTTTTGCCTTACACAGATACCTGATATTTCTTTTATTGAAGGGAATACTAATATATATGGTGAAATAATATGTTGTTAATGTTCTTTAACCCTAATAAGGCCGGGGGGCATTATGCCCCCCCCCCCTCCTCCACGATTTTTCCGATTGCTCGGGAACGCATATGGATGACGCCCCGCCGCTAGCTGACTTTTTTTTTTTCGAGTCTTGCGCAACTTTCAAAAGAATTTTTTTGAAAATCGGACCTACGGTTACAAGGTCACGTGACCTTTTGTCTTTGCATGTCAGCCCGAAAATCACTCATTTTCGTGATTTGTGTACAAAACGTATGGAAAAGTCATTTTTCCTCAAAACAGATCAAACATGGGTTATTGGGTCTTGTTTGAAGTTTAGGTGGTTGTTTTTGGAGTCAAATAGTTGAATTGTAGAGAGAGATGAAATAAAACCACAAAAACAATGAAATACATAAGTTAAAAAAAACAATGAGAAATTATCAAAACAAGGGATAACATAAGGAATAAGCTGGCTCTTCCAAATTTTTTGTCGTATTATTATTCAGAATGGTCTAATGAATTATGTAGTGAAAAGAAATGCTTAAATATGAATAATATATGATTTATGGGTAAAAATGTGATTTTTATGACTTTATTTGCATAAATTACCATAAATATGCAAATTAGTGAATTTTTCAAAAAAATGAAATTATCATATTATTCTATACACTTCACTTGACATGCGTGCAAATTTTCGCGGCAATCGGCCTCTTTGCGGCCGAGATCTTAAGGAGGGCCATAATGCCCCCCCCCCCCCTCCCCCGGCCGTACTAAGACCTCAAATAGCCCGGCCTTTTTAGGGTTAAAGGTACTATGTCCCATTTGCAGGCCAAAAAAATGAAAAAGTTAAATTCCAACGGCATTTGAAAGATAATACTCGAACTTCCCTAAAAAAGGTAGGGTTTGAAAATGTCTTCAAGTGGGAAAATAACAACTATTAGTTGTCAAATCGACTTAGGAGCTATAGAGCCAATAAGTAATAGTCTTGATTTTCAGACCATTGTACTGAATGGTCATACGTTTTATGCTACGGAAAGATTCAATCAGTTTAATTTTGGCCATCACAAGAATGGGTTATTGATGTAGACAAATGCTCATTTATGTATGTTGACCAAGAAGAAAAAAAGCCAGTCAGCCACTCAATAGTGTCAGACAGTGAGGCCTAGCAGGTAAACATGTTTCCTTGCATAATTTGAATATTAGGACACTGCTAACCTTTAAATTTCACAGATAGGACATACATGACATATTCATAATTCCTGTAAAGTTCTAGAATTTGAGTTTGGCTGCAAAAGGGACATAGTACCTTTAAAGTATGGGGTTGTCGCTCCTGGAAATACTATCAATGGATTTAACATAATTGGTTTGATTATTTTATGATTTTTGGTTTTATAACAAAACTAACTGTCACAAAATGAACTAAGCATCAATACCAAATATACCTACTCTATTGTTTCTTATAAAGGTTTGCGATTAAATAATTTGTGTTACTATCTTGATAAGATTTTACTAATTAATTGTTTTGTTTACTTGATTGTGAATCTTCAAGAAAAATGCATACAAATTCTCAACAACGTCAACTTTCTCTGAAGAAACAAAACCTTACCATTAGCATAGACATCACAATTTTCACCTGAAAACTACGGTTGTAATTCTTGTTCAAATACAGTTTTGTTTGCACGGGTCAATAATCGTTGATAATAGTGACTGATGGGGAAGGGGTCATGAATCAATGTCCAATATTGGCGTTGAAAGCTACTTGAAGCTAAAAAGCCTAACTAGCTAGGTGATGTGAAAAATAAAACGAAGGTGGTGGTGACAATACAATGTTTACCTAATTTATTGAAGCTATGTCATACTCCGCTCGATATTTAAAAAGGGAAGCTCTTGAAAATGAAGAAGAAGAAGGAGGAGAAGATAGAAGAAGTAGAAGAAGAAGAAGTAGAAGAAGAAGAAGAAGAAGAAGAAGAAGAAGAAGAAGAAGAAGAAGAAGAAGAAGAAGAAGAAGAAGAAGAAGAAGAAGAAGAAGAAGAAGAACAAGGAAAAAAAAGAAAAACGAAAATAAGAAGATAAAGAAAAAGAACAGGGAGAAGATCGAGAACTTGGGGGGGGGGCTACAACCCCGCTACACCCCCCCCCCCCCCCGCTCATTATGTTATGGTTTGTCGGGAAGGGGGAAATAACTTTCATTCACAGATGTATTCTCTGACCATTGAGATATATAGTTTTAAAATATAGAAATATGTGAACCGTGACTCTCAAAATACTAGTAGCTCTGCAAAAGTAACATACGGTACTAGTATATCGCCATCTCTTGTCTCATGAGTTGTAATGTTTACATCAATCAGCCGGTCGCGGTTTTTATCTCTGAGATATTTTGGTAGCTTACGCAACACGACTTGTATGCAGGCATGATCCATTGTTCGTGAAATAGAGGAAAACGAAAAACAACAACTCGGGAGTAAGAGATGATAACACGGAAGTTCTTGTGATGTTTCGCTTGAAAATCATCGTATTCCTTCATGTTTTTTCAGGTAAGATATCAGTTTCCGGGTCCTTTTTTAATGATGTCTATTTATTTGGCGAGAGCGAGTTGCTATCTGTAGCTGTCTTTGCATGTGTGGAGCGATGAGGAGGATTGTGCTCTGTCATGCCTCATGCCACGCAACAGCGAGCAGAGGTTCACGTGTAATTCGAGCGATACCGTGTGCCAGGTACCCTTCACCCCGAAACTCTGCGGTGGTCTATGTAGTACTAGTAGAAAGCAAAACGGAGCAGTCAGCTTGTTTCATAAACATATTTTTGCCCTTGCCTCTGTACTTACATGACGGAGGCTGAACTCAGTTTATTTATAAGGTAGCCTGCATGTTTCAAATTCAAGTGTCGTACTTATTACTTGAACAAAAATTAAAATTAAACTTTTTAAGATTTTGTTATTAAAATATTGAATCATGATCATTGAAATTTTGAATCATTTTGATGAATTAAATTTTTTGCTTCTTTAGAAGAAGACAAATTAGAATTGAGATAATTGAATTCTATCTTGTCTTTCCGATGATGTCCACAATTATTTTTGTTTAAATCAGAGGAGTTGGTTGATACATGCATGGCACTCTTCTTAAATCTAGATCTAGATCTAGATCTACTCAAATAAATTGACTTCTCAATAGAATTATTTTGAATTAATTCCTTAAACATGATGTTGAATTACTTTGTAGTGGTATTTAAAAAAACAATGTTTAATGGGAGAATGATCATTGGAAGGGGGTTGGGCTAGCTCCGACCTCGACACAACTTGGCCTTGCTGCGAAAATGATCAGTTTTTACAGGTTTAAGGGTTAGGTTTAGGTTTAGGATTAGGGTTCGAGTTAGGGTTAGGGTAAAATGAAGCAGGGGTTAATTGTTGAATGAGGGGGTTCGAGAGCTGGAGCCCTTCACTTTTTTTCTAATAGAAAAGTAAATGAACAATACGGCAGCAATACAGCAGTATTATAGTATGTACAATACGGCAGCATTGCAGTAGAACTATGATTCAAATTCTGCTAAGTAATTAGTTTTAGAGCCCAACAGTAAATTTCATATTTATCGAGGGATCAGGACATTGATTCTTTAAACCAACAATTTTCATATTTTTGATATTTTTTCCCCTCTCTCTCTCTCTTTCTTTCCTTGCAGTACTCCAATGGGAGATAAGAGATTAGTGTGAAAGGTCGTTTTGAAGGACATATTGTTTCTTGCTAGTTGCCGAGACGTACTGGCGTATAGCGGAGTGATAGTTGAATTGTGGTAACTCAGGAAGGAAAGAGTTGAATATGGGGTTCCTGATGCAGCTGTATCTCTTGGTCTGGAAAAACTTCACGTCCAGAAAAAGACAAAAGGTAAGCCAGGATGTTGAAAAATTTGAGTGACAATGAATGTCTGAAATGTTAATTGTTTCATCCTCATGAATTGAGGTTTTGAGGTCTTTTTGTGGGTGTCATGCATTTTTCTATTTCCTTTATTTACATGTTCAGTAGCTTAATAGTATAGTGATTCAAACATTTCAGGTTTTTAACCAGATATCTAGTAGTCTATTAACAAGTCATAAGTTCTGTATCTGGCAGAAATTGGCTAGGATTAAAACTACATGTATATACCGATAGGCCTTTTTTCCCAACAATATCCCATTGATGTTCAGAATTCCTGTGTACAGCAATAGTAGTTTGTAGAATACATAAATCTGGAGATCTGTATATGCACATTGCCTGAAAATTTGATTTGAGAAAACTATAAAAGGTCAAACTCTGTCTTTGTCCATCTGGAATTGTGTGTGCAAAATTAACCTCAATTACTGTACCTAAGAGTTTAGACCCAAAAAGGTCATCTGATCATTCTGATGACACATGGTGCAATGTGCACATTTACAGGTCACAATGATTGGAGAAAAAAAAATGTATGTACAGTGTACATGTATGTATTCTGTTTGAGACTAATTAGATGATCATGAATTATCATTTAAAGGCCCACTGCACTACTTGTAGCTACTTCCGCCCTCTATATAACAAACAATGCCTAATCGGTGACCATTAGTCCCCCATGATCCTTTTTTTCTTATTTAACTGAGAGCTGAGTTGATGAGATAACCACCTGTCCAGTGACCTTGCAAGGCGCTCTAATCCCTCCTGTAAACTACGGCAGATAAGCTTTAAGGAATTGGTTTGCCCCCCCCCCCCCCTACTAAATATTTGATACAAAATAAAGAAATAACTGTCTAGATATCCATCTCTAGGTGAACATGTGCATGTACATGTAAATTTGTGTACATGTACCTGTATAGTTGTAGACGATATAGTGTGGATGGTTATAAGCCAGTTCACGGTTGCAGTCTGAGCATGAGCAGATAAAGGTCATTGCAGAACAATTTTTGAAATACACAGAGACGAAATACTGGATACATGCTTATGAAAGTCATGTAATCATTATTCATTCATGCACATTCAGTGCATTCCTTACACATGTGGAAGTATTCTTTGCAAAGGGGAAACAAAGGCTATTTATAAAGCACCTCCATCGCTGTAGGAGTGGTTATTTAAAAATGTACAAAGTGGGACCTCTTCATGTTTTGAAGATCTGTGGATATTCGGGGTCATTGCAGTACCGTAATGTTAAACCTGAATTGGTCTATTCTCAGTGGGATGTTTGTGCCTGCAAATCAGAGATAGACCTCAGGCTCAGACAGATTTATGATTCATTTTATGACCAGCTGAGCAGGCTGGTGGTGTCCATTACTTGACTTGCAAACAAAGAAAATTCACTATTATCGTATAGAAGAGGGTACAGGCAATATATTTTCTTTGTGTTTTCAGTATCAAAATTTAGATATACCCTCAAGTTTGTTGTTTTTTATCTGTGTACGTAGACACTAGCCTGAGCCATTAAAGTAGGTAACACAATGACCTGCAAAGAAATGATTACATTTAAATGTTTACATGTAATGTGTTCATGTATTTTCGTCTTTAATAGCTAGTAATCTTAGCCTTCATATTGTACACAGTGGACACAAAATTGCAGCCCAGAAGAAATAGTCTTTACAGAAAATACTGGCAAAATTGTGTCATATACTTGTATACAAAAATATATTGTCACTGTTGGTCTCCACAACACAACTGTACTATTTGGAGGTACACTGTAGTATTGATGGTTTTATGTCCACCCAAATTAGTGACTCATGCATTGTGCAAGTTATCTGGATATACATGTATATATGAGAGTCTTGTAGAAGTAAATCAGATGGTGTGAGTCGTCTGTGACCAGAAAGGCATTGAGAATCCCTTTATTTGGCCTTCCTCTTTAAGAATGACCACTGGATGTTTTGATGGTCGGGATGATGGTCGGGATGATACACTTTTTACATTGTAACCACAAAGACACAAACATATTTTATCATACCGGTAGGTGAGGGTAGTATATCAATTATCAATATGGATCTTACACACATTTGTGTCCATGCATATGGAGCTGTCTACATGTACTGTACATGTATGTAGACTCATATTCATAAACGTTTACATGATACAGGACTTGTGCATGTATGTATCTCACATATTCTCCCATACATGTACAGTAGGCCTACTCGGTTTGTACTATTTTTCTACACCAGCATAGACTTCTTGTCCAAATACATGTACATGTACATGTACTGTACACAGTAGTTGTAATAGCTTTGTTGATTGGTGGTTTTATCTTTGAATAGCCAAGAGATGCTATTTACATACTTGTACATGCATGCACAACCTGAGTACAGTACCAGGATGCAATTCTTTTTGTTCCACCACTTAACTGAAAAAGGTCTTTCCTCTTTAAGAGTACACAAACAGGATACAATTTGTTGTTTGTTCAACATTTAAACAAAAAAGGTCTTAGTTACTCTTTAGCCTAGGATTTCCGGTTTTCACTGCGTGTAGGTAATAAAATTGATTCTGTTACAGATTGTAGGAAAAGTACTTTTGAAGGATGTATTTTGCAAATTTTGCATACAATCATCATTGCAGGGATTGATTTTACAACTCTTGCTCTGGCAACGTGGTCATATGCAGTTTAGTTTAGAATTCCAAACTATTAGGATCCAACTTAAGATGTTCATGTATACCTGCATACCTACATGTACGGTATTAAACCCTTTGTGCACATTTATGTACAGTACCTCTAAACCAAATAATACCAAACCAAAGTTACCAAACCAAACCCAAATGCAGTTACAATCCTAACCCTAATGTACATGTATTATACATCTTCCAACTTCAACAAAATAAAGCCCTGATCAAAAGACGCCAGACCAAGTGTCTGAGCACCCAGGGATTCCCTGTTTGTGTATGAATCATTCATTACAATACTGTACAGTCTAGTCTGACTGGTTAAAATCGCCATTGCTCTAGCTGTGACCAGTCTGATGAAATCCTCCATGCACTCATCAGGGGTCAGCCATCTGGTTTCCAAGCACAAAGAAATTCAACTTTCTCCTGAAGAGAGGAGTTCACTTTTCCTGGTATGGAATATGAAACCATACAGAGAGTTTCCTGTTGTGGTGCAATATCATAAAAGTGAAAGTCCTTTTTAGAGCAAAAATCACATACGTACATGTAGAATAACAGCCCAACTTTTCATGTACTGTACATGGCTGCTTCAATATTTTTCTTTTTCACTTAATTCAATATGATTTAATTGGTAATTGAATGGATACTTCCGGATTTCTTTCTCTTCTTTTACATTCAAATTAAAAGATACACTGGTTAGGCCTATATGAAGGGGAAGGGGGTAGAGCTAGATGAATATCGTGAGAAAGCAAACACAGAATTGTTGTTGAGAATTGAGATAGCCAGCTCTGTTTACAACTCTATCCTCAAGAGGAAGTGTGCATTACAATACATTGTAGTTATGATGTCAATCATCAACTGGTCCTTTCTGATTTCAAAATAAGCAAGCGAAAGTGCCTTTTGTTCAGTCCAGTTTTTAGTTACTCAAGGGAGTTGATAGACTCCCTGGTTACTCTCAGGATTTGCAATGATACATAAATTAGAAAACCTACAGTATTTGTGTAAATGTTTTTTTTTTTTGTAGTGCCTCAGGTACTTGGGGATCTAGGCATGTCCAACCAGCACCAGCTGCCTCCTTTGTCTACTACTGTCTTATAGTGTACTTCACATGAGTCTTGGCCATATTTGTATAGAAGGGTCTTTAATTATTTACAAAAGACACATATATACAATCTGTGTATACTTAAAAAATACTGAAATTGCACTGTAGGAGCTGGAGTTTGTGAGTGAGAGGGGTGAGGGGTGAGGGGCAGCACTACAGTTAATTAATGTACATATGATCATACTCAGCAATGTCATGAAAATAAAACAGTGATAGATGTTCCAAACAATTTTCAAACCCAATTGTCCCACTGAAGTTAAACTTCTGTTCATTTATGATAGAATGAACTTTGAAGTACGATTGCTACATGTTCAGCTACATGTAGACCTTCAAACATGGGAAAAAACACAAACCAAGTCAAAGGCAATCGTTTTCCATTGTTCAAACATCAAATCAGTATATACAGTAGATACCCAATATATCAGCCTAAGTTTTGCACAGGTTGTACATACACTGTACATGTGCTACATTGTACAATGTACTGAATGTACTGAATGTATTGGCCAAAGTTCATTATGTCATGGTGATCATTAAACTGGAGCCTGTATCATAAAACTTTTAGTCAATAACAAATGCTAAGATACTATGACAAATTTGCTCTCAACCAATCAAATGCAAGGATTTCAGTAGCTTATAACAATTATTGTAATTTGTTATTGATAACAAGCTTCATGAAGCAGGGCCCTGGATTTCTTTCTTCAACCAAAAAAGTTTAACCATGACCCACAGACATGGTACAATACACTGCATTTAGCCTCAAGGGCCCGAATTCACAAAGCAAGGTTTGAGCTGCAGACCAAGGTTTGAGCTCAAACCTCCTTTTGTTTCGCCAAACCTCCTTTTGTTATTTACAAACCAGACAAAAGGAGGTTTGGCGAAACAAAAGGAGGTTTGAGCTCAAACCTTGCTTTGTGAATTCGGGCCAATAACTTTACATACCCTGGATATTGTACATGTGTATGTTTCGTAAAAATTGTAAGCTTACAAAGTATCAGCCCCCTCCCCCCCCCCCCAAAAAAAAAAATTGTCCCAATGACCCGATGAGATTTATACCAAAACTTTTTAGAATTCCAATTTCTTGTTCTTTTTCAACCGAAGTGAATTGAAATAAGGAGGTTAGTACTCTCTTTAAAAAAAAAAGAGTGATTTTTCACTCTATTTTCACTTTCTTGGGAGTGACATCCGTGATCACTTGTTTAGGAGTGAAAATCGATTGATTTTAGAGTGCTCTCTAAGAAGAAAAGAGTGAATGTTCACTCTATTTTTCACTACATTTTCACTCTCCGGAGGAGTGACGTCCGTGATCACTCAATTTTTTTTAGAGTATGTACCGTACATTGTGTAGACCTTAGATTCCCTATTAGCATACATGTATGTTTGCAAACCCTCTAAAACTTATTTCAAAATTCATCTGTAGAAGGAAGATGAATTTGGAATTTCAAATCAAAAGCCGCTTTTGTTTTCTCTCTATGCATGAAAATAAGGGCTCATTTTGTACACAAAAAGCGAGGTGAATAAAGAGATGTCAGTTACAAAATTCAAATTTGAAAAGAAAAAAGAATGCAAGTTTGCTATTAAATAAATGAATGTTTTGCCAACATACTTTAGGCAGGCTCCACACCAACAGGTGCCTGGGTCATATGGGCACCTTGAATGTAGGTCCGTGCCCCTAAAATTTAAAACATTTACAATTTTAAAATTTACATACATTGTTCATGTAGGCCTCACGTATAAAGACATTACAAATCTCAAATCTGGACCCCCTTCACACAGTTAGTGTGGAGCCCTGCTTTTTGGAAACTTTTCACTAGTAAATTTATTTTTTGAACAACATTTTCGCCCTTTTACAAGTTTGAGATGTCCATCCATGCAAATCTCTGCAATGTCCTTTAATTGGAGTTCCACATTGAGAGAAAAAGGAGGGAAAATGAAGGTTTGAAGATACATGTAGGAAAGAAATAGGACATCAGGTTAACTATTGTTTAAATTTGTTTTCATTTTGATTATCGCAGATCACAATCTGACAAAAGGGTCACATTTTGGGTGTAAAGAAGCTACATGTACATGTAGAGTTTGTTGGCCCCATGTCCCATCTACCGTGTTATTATGTTCCTTATCTTGTTTGTGAGAATCCTAATTGACAGTGCAGATTGATTACAGAATCTTAAGATGGAGATCTTTCATGTACCCTGTACATGTAGTACTGTACTTTAAAAAGATGAATTATCAACTCATTTATAAATTCATTTGTGGAGTATTGAAAATAATATATCTTCTTTGTACAAGTACAGTATGTATTCCTTAAAAAGAAATTGTGTGTCATTCCCCACAATGCAAAAGCCCAAAAATCTTTATCAGGGTTCCAAAATTGTAGTCTTGCAGTCCATTGTAAAAGTTCACTTGATATACATATGTACCTGTATCCCGTTGTTATCTGTCATAGAGATAAACTTTGCCATAAAGGCTACCAGGAGTCAAACTTTTGATCGGAAGAGACGTACAGTACATGTAAATATGATCATTCGAGACTCTTATCTCTTCCATCATGAACCTGACATGCTTCCATTAAAAGTTATTAACTTAGCAACCAATTAATTTCTTAGAGACAATTAGATCAAGTAGTTGATGGGAATTAAAGGAGCTCACAAGTAAACCTTTGATTTCTGGTGCAATTTCATTTATAAACCTCTTTGCAGTTTCAGTCAAGCTGGGTTCTGATAAAGAATTCTTGTTTAAAAAAATCTAGAATCCTTTTAAAATCTCTTTAACAGCATTTTTTGTATAATCCTTTTCAAATGCAATTGATTATTGGATGGTTACCATTGTAAGAAAATTCTGATATTAAAAATATGTATTTTTTGAAATTGTGGATTCTACTAAGAAAATATATCTTCATTACCCACTTTCTTCATTTAAAAAAATACATTTTCCATTGCTACAGTATATAATTATGATATTTTTCATGATGCATTTATGTTTCGGCTTAGACTTTATCTTAGACTTTATCTTGCATGTACAGTGTGCATGTATTTCAACATAATGGCCTTGAAAACCATTCCATTCTGTTTTCGATATGATGTGGTCTTTATTAAATGTATCTAGTATTATTCAACATCACTCCTCTACCCACAGGTACTTGTGGTAATGAACGACCATGAAGTTGTGCCATGTAGTCACACTGAGAAGACTGTCACCAGATCGAGAAAAAAATGTTGCATTACACAGAATGGCCAAGGATTGGTTGGTTTGGAATTGGTTTGGGGATGTGACTTGCACATTATTTTGCATATTCACTGACTGAAGGCCGCTACAGTGTATACATGTAGTATAGTGCACAATGTATTTCTGGTCTCCACTTCATGTTTGATGGGAGGTTGTGTATCTGGATGCTTAAAGGTAAAGACCAGTATTGGAAATGCCCCAATTTCAAAAAATGAAATGAAAGCTCTCATTACCAATCATGTGAAAGAATATGTTTTGACTAATACATGATGATAAAAAATTTGTCGGGAAACCGCCTACTAATTCATATATTTGGTAAATTTGTTTCTCTCATGGTCTGTGAGAGATATAGGGTAGTCCCATATACATCTTTCTGTGTATAGTGCTTGTAACTTTACGAAGAATGGGCCAAATTTCTTATCATTTTGATGATTCCAGAACCTCGCAGATGCCAGATGATCAACCTTTTCTGATCGATTCCACATCGTTTCTTTCACAATGCAATCGCTTGACCATAACTGGTCTTTACCTTTAACATAAAGTTAACAGAAATAAATTGATTTTGGACAGCATAAAGAACCGTTGTATTTGTCATTTATAATATTATTGTCCAAAATAAAAATTCATAAAGATTTATGAAATATTGCATGTGAACTTCTTCAAAATTACAGTTTGAAACCAATAGAGGACTTTGAGAGTACTTGCATAATGTACTGTTTCCTATACAGACCAATATTAAGATTGAAATCCCTGTACAAATCTGATTCTGAAAAACGATTTGATCAAAGCTATTCTATCACGTCCCTAGGCAATAGTCTGTGCATTGTCAAGTACTGAACAGGTATTCTGTGAGAATCATGTTATTCTATAGTTTAACACATCCGGGAGGCCGGGGGGGGGGGGGGGGGGGGGGGGCAGAGGGCTCTTTGTATAGGTGGGAATAAGTACAGTACCGGGCACAAAATATGATTTGAGAATGGACTTTGATTTTGGGAGCGATGTATGGCTCCTATTGTATTGTGAGTTGCATGATTTTCAAGAAGCCGATTTGAGCTTTCATAAATGATCGCTTCTATCTTCATGTACATGTACACTGTATGTACATTGGAGATGGAGATGGCAGAATTATTCCTTTAGATACATTTTTTGCAAGGAAATGCTGAAGTGGAGGTTATGGGTTTTCTTGTTAAATGTTGAAAGAAACTGGAATATAATATGACCAATGTAATATTCATCTTGAATTCTTTCTCAGCTTACTATTGCTTAGAACTGAAAAGTCAAGTATTTTAGTATATTGTATTAATAACCATATTGATCAGCTTTTAAGCTGCAGTGTACATACAATGTATGTACATGTAAATGTATGTGTACTGTGCTAATGACAGCTGAATAGTACTTTACATATCAACTAGCCTTACATGTAATATCAACATTACTTTCATTTGTTGTATAAATATTGTACCGTAGTTGAAGACCAGCTTTTTTTAATTATAAGCACATGCATTGGGTACGTGCATGCCATCAACGATTCAACATTAATATAATGATTTCTTGGATGTCTTTGGAGATACAGATGTGTGCATATATTAAGCCCTATATCGCATCAATGTTCATGTACGCTGTAGACTCTTTTGTTTCATTTTTAATGCAAATTGAAAAAACTAAACAGATTATTTTTCCCAAAGATATTTGTACTGGTAGTTTTGCCTGTATTGTCTAGTATTGAAATATTTCATAGCACTGATTTTTTTTTTCTGTTGCTTTTGTTTCATGTTTTTTTTTAATACATGTATATCATAGCATTAGAGCTACATTATTGTTTATCATAGGCAAATTGCAAAGTACTAGTACTCATTTGTTTTTGTTGTTGTCGTTGTCTTGAGATGAGAGCAGTCTGCAATGTAGTTATAATGTTTTTTGCTTTTTCTTTTGCTCATTTCAGATTCGCATACTGATAGAGCTACTTTGGCCGTTGGTAATCTTCATTATTTTGGCGGCAGTCAGAAGGGATGAGCCTCCAGAATTCAAGCATGAATGTAAGTCAATAGAGATCATGTCAGGAGCTCTGTTCACATTATAGTGATAGGAAGTACTGTATGTTCTGAGCTCTGTTCATATTGTTTATATGTGATGCACATGTACAGTATCATATGAAGAGCTCTGTTCACAAATGTGTTTCTTTGATTGTCATCAAAGTTTAAACAGGAATGGACATGGAAGTCAATATCTAGAGATCATGTCAGGTTATGTTCACATTGTTTGGTGTGATTGTATTCATGCCAGAAGCTGCGTTCATACAAGTACATTTTCTGTTTTTTGTGTGATAGTTACAATGTCAGAAGCTCTATCAATTCATATTGTTTGTGTATTAAATCATGTAAGGAACCGTGTTCACACTTTCTGCTCTTGTGATAAATTTCAGGAATTGTTATCACATTCTGTATCCAAGTACAACAAATGATTGTAAACTAGATGTAGATCTACATGTACATGGATATGCAGATTAAAATGTCCTGGAAAATTTAACAGGCTTTCAAAATCTTTGAGGACAAGGAGAAATAGAAATCAAGGAGGGACCTACAGTATAGCCCGTAGGCCTACAGTATATATACAGTGTATTTTGTACTAAAAACTGTAGTGTACTTGTAGGCCTACACTTTATAGACATACATGTACTGTACCCTGCCAGCCGCTGTGCATGTACAGTACTCCTTATCTATTAGGGAAGCTTTCAATCCATCTATGGTTGAATCACCTTGTCAATGGCACCTTGAAAAACAATCATTATAATAATACACCCGGATACAATACGAATACGAGGGAAGAGATACCGTAGTCACCAGTGTTGCACCATGGTTGCACCTGCATGTACTATACATGTAGATGTATGTAACTCTGACTCGGACAGAGTATACATGTACATTTTAATAATTAAAGGTAAAGACCAGTTATGGTCATGCGATTGCATTGTGAAAGAAATGTTGTGGAATCAATCAGAAAAGGTTGATCATCTAGCATCTAGCATCTGCAAGGTTCTGGAATCATCAAAATGATAAGAAATTTGGCCCATTCTTCGTAAAGTTACAAGCACAATACACAGAAAGATGTATATGGGACTACCCTATATCTCTCACAGACCATGAGAGAAACAAATTTACCAAATATATGAATTAGTAGGCGGTTTCCCGGCAAATTTTGTATCATCATGTATTAGTCAAAACATATTCTTTCACATGATTGGTAATGAGAGCTTCCATTTCATACTGGTCTTTACCTTTAAAGACTAAATAATTCATACCCTTGCCAAGTTGTTACATTTTTTTAAGTATGTGAACATTTTATTTCTCCCAATCTAGATGTTTCTTGAGAATGTGACATACAGTATTAAAGCTTACCGTACATCTAAAAGAATTCAACAAAGTTACGAAAAAACAGATAAAACATATCAAATTTACTGTACAAGGGGGTACAGTATGAATAGTTGGTTAACTGTATATTGCACAGCGCTTTGTGAGCCTTGTTGAATGAGAGAGTCTCTAAAATTTGATAAGGAATTCAGAATCTCATACACGGTATAAATTGAAATGTTTCTACACAACATATAACATACTGTATTGTCTGTTTGGAGCATAATGGCAAGAACTCATATAACAGATGCCCTGTTGGCTCTGAACCAATGATAAAAGCAAATCCAAACATTTAGGTACAGAACATGTACCAGTAAACAAATCATCTTTACATGTGTGACGAAGTATGGTGATGCTGTGTACTACAATTGTGTTAAGGTCACAGTCTATGTCGATCACGCATCATTGATTTTCATTGACAGCAAGGCCATAGAAATAAAAAAACATCCTATAAACAAAAGGTGTATCCTTTTTCACACAATACAAGAATGGGCACAATAGCTTAACGGTAATACCTGCATCACTCTATTGAGGTTACAGGATGTATTTACCCTAATTTTTTTAGTTTGTGTTGATCTCAATCATTGGGACATTCATGTACCCTGTAAAAATTGTGATGTACATTGTACATATATTGTCTCTTAAAAACACCTTTGTTTGTTTGTTATATTATTACAATGTTATGACAAAGCAGTTATTCTTTCTCGTCTTCCCTCATGTCTGCTATTATCCCTTCTTTTCTTTTTTCTGAGCGCATAGGGACTTCAATTGATTTTTGTGATATGCGCTATATAAGAATGGTTTATTATTATTATTATTATTGTATGTTCATTGTTAATGCGTCATGATTTAGAGAGTACAAACTCTAAGAAAGGAAGCCATATTCTGGTAAAGTACTAAAGTTCCCCCAAAACATGTCTTTTGTAGGTTAATGTATCTACACGTACATTGTACATTTGTACCTCCTGCATATTCAAGAGTTCAGTACATTTTGCAAAATGAGCTGGGGTATTCAGACAGGTTTACTTGATCATTAGGTTTTATATTACTTATGACTGTTAATACAGTGTAAGGTCGAAATCTCTGTAAAATTTCAAATTTTATCTTTCATTTTCATTCCACAATTTTTCAGAAATCAGAGACAATGGCCGTTTGACATTTTGTAAATAAAAGTAATTGAGGCATCCTCCTACTACAAAAACATGAAAATGTATTTTTCATATTGAGAATTTAAAGTCTATTCATGAAGCAAGTGCTAGATATAAATGTAAGATACCGAAGAAAATGGATATTTTCTACATCTTATAGCCCGTAGAATGTCTATTGCACTTTTTGTTCATTCAATTTTAATGAATAACATCTTTTATCTTCTTTTTTTCCCAATCATCTGCAGGTCATTTTTCAGCCAAAGCGATGCCTTCAGCTGGAATGGTTCCTTTCCTTCAGTCTCTCATGTGTGATACTCTCAACTCATGCCGCAAAGACGAGCTAGAAAGCGACGTCCCAGGCAAAGTCAACGACTTTTCCCAAGCCAAGTAAAATAATCTCTTCATTATATTTTTTATTCGTTGCCAAAGTTGAACATTTAATGATAAAATAGTCCCTTATGTTTCTTTCTCAGATTTGAGTTTGGGCCATGCTTACTATCCAGATTCATTGCTGTGTGAAATTTATTTTTAAATGTTTCTTACTGTTGTTTCTTTAGTCTGAGTAGACATTTCAGTCAGTAGCCTCCTACAGAGCACCTGGATAGAAGAGTTTGGCATATTCAAGGTCTTGACAAAAAATACTGTAATGGTGTAAAATGTGACACGACCCCTCCCCCTCCTCCTCCCCTTTTGTGAATTTAGTTGTTCATATATGTTCATTTTATTTTTTACATGAAGGCTTTATGAGTATTAAATTAATCTAGTTTTGAACAAAGTATTTAAAAGTAAAGATCCATTTTTATAGTGAATATCTGCTTGGAAATGTGAAAAGCTCCATTGCAGTTGTATGAAAATTATGAGAGGACCCCCCCCCCCCAACTTTTTATGATTTATTTTGGTGGTACAAACAGTACCAGGAGAAGATTGGGACTTGAATGTAGTTATTAGCAAAGTAAATAATTGCCTTGGAACAGGTTTCTTCCCTGCTTTCGTTTTCGTCACAAATACAAAAGCTCTTGCCCATTTATTCAAAAGTTGTTTGCCCACGGCGGATCATGTACTGTACACAGCGTGATGTTTGATTGTCTGTGTAACAAAAGAACCAAAATGTTATTTTCACTGGAATGATCTGACTTTTTGATTAGGGATTTCCCTTTTCCGTGACTTCCCATAACTTCCTCAATTTTGATTACATTTTATAGTAGGATATTAGTTTGATGGTCAATTTTTTTTTTTTTTTTTTTAATTTTTTTTATTTATTTATTATTTTTTTTTGGGGGGGGGGGATGACTCAGTGGTCGTTGTGTGCTAGATTGAATTTAAAGGGATTACCAAATACCAATGTGGGAAATAGTGATGTTTGAACTTTTTTTAGGCTTTTTTTTTTCAGAATGTAGAGTGAGATACTAATTCCAGAAATTAATGGCCTAAATATTTGGTATTAGATCATTAGATGAACTATCTAGATATCTGATTAGAATTCCTGGTGCAGAATAATCAAATAAATGTATACAATTTATTGGGTTTTCATCTTCATATTATAAGCATGTTGGTTGCTACTTATTTTTCTAAAATATGTCATCTTTGTAAGTATGTAGTCAATGAGTGAAGAAATTAAGAACACAAAAGCTTCATACCATGACAATGATAGATAAATACTCAAATTTCACATCTTTCATTTCAAATGATCTTTTGAAAACACACAATTATAGACTATATTATGTCTTCAAACTCATTAAACATACCAACTTTGATTGAACCTATCCATGACATCCATAAGTCTTGATGAGGTTGGTAAGCATGCATATATTCCACAGGAGTTTGTTTGAATATTAGGTGTAGAATATTGTAATGACTATTGCTTTACAATGTACATGTAAGCTATAAAATTGGTTTAGAATATCAAAAGACAAGGGATTACATGTGTTTGCACTTATTCCCTACTTACTGTAATTGAACCTTGCCTCTCCCTCTCACAGGTTATCTATTCTTATAGAAGACATCCAGAAGATCTTGGGTAACAAGACGTTTGTAGATGATGTGGAGAAGATCTTGATTCAGCTAGGTGACCTGGAGCGCCAGGGGGACTGGTTGAATAGGGGCAATGACTGGTGGGACAGGGCACAAGTAGACCCTGGCAGCCCTTCATTACCAGGTAATTATAATAATGATGAAGAGGAGCAGGAGGAGGAAGAGGATGGTAATGAGGAGGAGGAGGATGGTGATGAGGAGCAGGAGGAGGGGAGGGGGAGGGGGGGGGGGGGGTAATAGTAATTATGAGGATCACACTTTCCCAAACCCGAGGTACACTTGCCAATCACTGATTTCACTTCACTGCAACAAAATCTGACTTACCCTTGACTTGACTTGACCCTATATATCATTAACTTGCTCTGATATACCATCAAATGTTTACTTCCCCCACCATCCAGTTTACTTTTCCCACTACAGACTTTACTTGCCCCAACACAAACTGTACCTCCTCTCCTACCAATATCCCCCCCCCCTCCCCCCATCAAAATTATCATTAAGTAAAACATGAAGTGTATGCTTCTATCCAATGTGTATTGCCCACCTCCCTCTCCTTCTAATCCTGGCAATAAATGGGTTAACATTTTATCTCTTCGAGCTTGAAGCCAATCAACTCAAACTTCCCCCACCCCAATCTTTTTCTTTAATTAGATGCAACAGAGCTCTGACTATGCTTCCTTTTTCGGTATATGGTTTAAGATATGGGAAGAAGAAAAAAAAATCTATTTCAAGTGCCATAATTAGGAGGAAATACCATAGTGGGTGACAAACTATCTATTCTGAAATCTTCGTAAACACCAGACAGTATCAGATTTATCTTCCTTCAGTGCAAAGTCTAATGAACAAGTGAACATTTCATGTCCTGTTTGTTAACTCCTTAAGATTTGTCAAGGTGAACATTGTTAGCATTTATCTTCCTCTGAGATTAGTGAGTTGATTTTACTTTGCTATTCAAAATTTTGTGGTCCGTAATGAATTAATCTATCCAAATTGTTTGTTACATCAAGATAACGGATAAAAGCAAATGGCTGATGATATATTTGTTTCAAAGAGGGAAATGTTTCTCCTATCTTGTTCAATGTTCAAGATTAGAAATAATGACATGTGCCGAACGATTTTGGTAGAAAATGTATAGGGGGCTGAGTAATGAGTATAGAAAGATAAGGAAATCAAGGTAAGTAGGCCCAACACCATGTACTGTACTAAATGCAGGACACCATGTGCAAATGAGAGTTGTGGTTTTTATTGAAGATGATTTCCAGCAAGTTTTTGTGAGATCGTTTTTATTTTACTGGTTCAAACAATCAATCTCCTGCAGGATAAACAACCCAGACTGAATTATAGCCTTGTTCTCTCAACATGCAATTCCCATACCAGACCTCAAGATTAGCTTTAACCTGTTGACTACTGAATTCCTTCATTCCCATAGGCTATAATACAGGAGCTACCCCGTTACTGTAGGCGATGGGTTATGGTAGATTTTATGCACAACTCAATCTTTGTCATTTTTAACTCAAAAAGCTTGCTGGTACCTGTAAGGAGAGAACGGTATCAATCAAGATTGTTTGAATCGTATGAGAAAGATGTTTTTCATGAAAATCATTAGTCTTTTATGTATATCTTTCATGATTGATCCTGTGTCTGATATTTTCCCTATTGTGTCCATCTTAACGAAACTCCCTGCATGGACAATACATCCTGAACCTTTATCATCGGTAAACCAAGATGGCGGGCTAATTGCATTATTGAGTACATGACTTTTAAGTCAATAAAGGCAATGCAAACTAATGCATCATGCGCTGCCTACATTATGCCCCAGGCATAGAGTGTATTCAAGGCAGATGTATTGCATTCACAGTGTTTCTTTTCTTCTTGTTCATATGCTCTTTCATTTCCTCATATAAAGGTATTTTGTCCAGAAAATGATGATTTATTCCTAGATTTAATCCCAACCATCTTCTCAACCCTAACTTGAATTGACACTGAATAAAAGTTAATGAGTTCATTTAACAAAAAAATGAAGTACCAGTAATGTGATAACATTGCATTTTAGTTTAAAAAATGATGTACTTTAAAAAGTACCTGCGGCAGATATTCAGAAAAATAAAGTTAAAAGGAACCAATTACTAATTAACTCTGGTATATTTGTAGGAGGAAAGAGACAGGAATTGGTGAGGAAGTTTAAGGGAGCTAGTGTATAGTTACACTGTATATTCATGTGAAACCATTGCTACATATACCTGTACATACATTATGAATTGCACAGTAGCTAAACACAAATGAAGTCTTTATCAGATGCTGCATACATGCATGTATTTAGTGACAGGTCACATATTCTGCTGTGGAATGTAAACATAGGTGTTGGTAGCTCCTATAAATACACAAATGTGCTTGCACATGATATCAGAGGGAGCTATAGCGTGATTGAAATGTTAACATATGAATATTAACTTGCTTGTGTGAACGCGTCCAAGAGATTTGTAGATTCCCTGTAGCATGACATGTCATTTGAGACATCAGCTGGCTTGTGTGAACGCATCCAGTGGGTAGATCCTGCATGTACTCATACATGTGTGCCTCAGTCTCCTGAAGCATGATACGTCATTTGAAATGTCATCTTGCTCATGTGAACACATCCAAGGGATGTACCTCAAATTCCTGAAGTATTACAGTGATATGACGCAACCCAATGCAGCCTAAATTTAGTTTTCAAAATAATGTCAAATTTGCTCTGTGTGAACACATCAAAGAGATACCTTGATTTCCCTGAACAGGATTAGAGTGGTATGATGCAACCCAATCCAGCCTAAATTCAGTCTTCCTATAGGCCTGTTTTCACCAGCTTGAGTTTCCCAAATAGCCCGCTATTTCTGATCCGATTCATGAAATATTGGGCTATTTATATGGCAGGTGAAGACGCAAATAGAAGGCTATATGCTTGGGAAATTTTCCCAAGATTTCTAGGGCGAGTTAGCAAACTAGCCTGCTATTTGTCCGGTTCGACTCCACCAGACCCAAACCTGAGCTAGCTAATTTCTCGAGCTCTAGTTTCGAGCTGATGGAGATGCGATTTATAACTTCAGGCTAATTTCCTGAATCAGATTGGCAAACTCGAGCTAATGGAGACAGGCCTATTGAGAATTGAGGGATGTTATTCTTGTCGCCTTGCCGGAATGACATTACAGAATGACTTGAATGTTAACAGGCAGCCAAGAGATAGACAGACATGTGTACTGCATGCATTATGATAAATATAGTCCTGAGGCATTACCAGATGTTTTGAAATGAAATAGAAGGGCTAGTTGCAGTCGATACTGAAATGCTCATACTAGTTGGAAATTCAGGGTTTAAAGTAGTGTAGATGATACTTTATTTAAAAGCTAGAATTACTAAGAATGTTTGGGCAATGCCTTTGCCTTGTTCATCTTTATACATCTTCAACTTCTTCTTCTTCTTCTTTTTCTTCTTCTTCTTTTTCTTCTTCCTCCTCATCTTTTTATGTTTCATCTGCTCCATCTTCTCGTATTGTCTTTCTTCACTACCTCCTTATAGACTTTTTCTTTTTCTTTCCTTGCTCTCTCTCTCTCTCTCTCTGCTTCTCTTTTCTTCTCCATCTCCTTCTCCAATTTCCCGCAAAAAATCAGTGAAACTTTGGCAGGCATTTACAAAAAAAAATCCAGAGGTGGATTTTTTTATTTAGATTTTTCGTCGAGTTTGTCGTTAGCCGTTTTGCAACTACCGGCGAAACACTGGAATGTGAAAAAAATTGATGATGTTTGCTGTGTAGATGCAGCTCATGTATCCTTAACATATCTTTAACTCCAGCTAACGGATGTCATTAATGATTTCTCACTTTCAGATCTGTCATCTTTGAGTGGTTTATTGGACGACCCAGCTGCAGTGCGTAGTTACCTTAAAAGTCAAGTGGGTCTGTCTCCTGATGTTGCAGATGCCATCCTAGCCTCAAGACCAAACCCTGCAGAGGTAATCTTTAGCCACGTTTAAAGGGGAAAATGATTTTTTTTTTTTTTTTTTTTTTTTAATTTTTACTTGGAAAATTTATTTTAACAGTATATTGTTACAGTTTGAAGACTAATACTTGTTGGAAAAATTGATCCCAAAGTTTTGGGGAGCAAGATTATTTCTGTGGTGAAAATATGAAGTCCTTTGAAATTTTATCGGCAATTATTGATTTTGCAGTTATCAAAGTGCCTTGGTGCAAATAATCTTCTCATCATTCTTATTGGAAATCAACGTTAATCTAACATTTGATATGTAACAAAGAACATGAAAATAATCATCCTATCTGCAAAATGATAATATTTCTCCACGATGTATCTATTTATTCAATATTTTTTAATGTGTATGAGAACTAGAACTAGGTGATTATCACTAGGTAATCATTCTTTGGTAAAACAGTGTTTAGTAGGCCTATACAGTAGTAATGCATGCTGTGATTCTTGTTGCAGCCTTTGAATTCCATGTGGGCTTCCGTTTTGCATGGAGCTAAATGATGCTGAAATGAGATGACACACTTTATTATCAAAACAAAAAAACACATAAAATTATATACTCAACTTTAACGGTACATGTATTTGACATGCAGCTGCAAGAATTTTCAATCAACAGTTAGTAGTCATGCTTTAAAAAAAAAAAGATTTGACAGGGGTTTAAGTAGCTTAAAGATTGTCACTTTTACCTGTTACACATTTAAATACATGAATGTGTACTGTGAAGTAGAGGTTTTTTTTTTTTTTTTTTTTTAAACAACAATATCCTACCTGCAGACTTGTAAACATCCGAAAAGTCCTTATAAGTCTACTTTGAGTCTCTCTGTCAGTCTTCATCCTCTTAAGGCAGAACCGAAATAAAGATGTAAATTGGATAAGGAGAAATTATATTAAAATATATTATGATACAGCACAGCTCAGGTTGTATGGTAAAGAAATATTGTGGATGAATGTGGAGATTCTCAGAAGCATACTTTTAAACAAACTATGTCTTGTAAGTATTCAGACTCAAGCAAATCCTTTTCAAGAGTGAAACAACATTATAGATGACTTAAGAAGTTCATCTGATTGGTCATGTACATCTTTGTATTAACCTTGAAAATTATAAAGAGATGGTTTATGAATAAGAACATTATGAAAATGAAAGAACGAGTACATGAACAAGTAGTTGATTGTGCACTATATGTCTGAAGGCTGAAGGCCAGTAAGGTCATTAGGATGATATCATCTTTAACTAATGAGTTTATTTTGTGGAGAGATGTAGCTGGTATAGCTCTCATTAGGTGATATAATGATGTCAATTAAGGAGAAGATTTTGGATATAGAGCAATTTCAATTTGAGTTTGCATTTGTTTCACTCATAAGTAATAGAAAAACATTCATATTTAAGCAGATTGATCATGGAGTTTTACATTTAAAAAAACAAAAAAACAACAAAAATATCATTTGAATCAGTGAGAGACAAGCTAAAGATTTCAAAATATTGGATGTTTTACAATTGTACACGTTCTTGCATTTGATGCAGATATGATGGTGTTACAGAATATGGCGATATTGGGCAAAAAAAAAATGGTTCATTACAAATACAGTAGTTTTCATCAAGGCATAATTGCGCAGGTGCATTTAACACTTGGATTGCTTTCTTTGCCTTTCTGCAAGGTTGCTTGTTAGCCACACATGCAATTTTGCACAAAGTGATACTTGATATTCACCAATTGATGGAGGGATTGCTTTGTGCTGGACAGTGGTACCTTGCACAATGATTGATTTCCGGACTTGATTAGCTCAATGAAAACCCTTTCAACACCAGTATGGGTTAATCTTGGACTGGAAACTGCTCAATAATCTCAAAGCCATTTATATATCCATCCCATGATAAATATAATGTCGCACAGGGGGATTATTTGTGTGGCATAAAAAGAGGTAGCATCATCATGTGCATGTACCGGTAACACCAGAATATACATGTATGTGCATACTACATCAGCACCATATGCAAGGATGAGCAAGGATGGATGCTATTCTTAAACATGTATTTTTACGTTTGACCTAGGGCTTAGTTTTGTGGGAAGTAAAGCGTTATTCTATTATTACCCATACACATAGAAATGGAGATACATGTACATTTGAATGCATTAGAAACAACCATTTTGAAGTAGAACCCGTAGGATTTCAAAAAGGGTTCTGCTATTGATTTTATCTCCAGGAATGAGCAAACCTTTTTTATGCGGTTGTTTAATGTGGTAAAATCAAAGTTTGCCTACCGGTGTTGCCTACTTAGTGAAATAATCATGATTAGAAACATGAATTAGAGCATTATTAATACAATTACAAAATGTATTTAAACAGTTTGGTCAGAATATCTATTATCTTCATGGCCTAAACTCTTTATATGAGTAGTTATTCCTTTTCATTTTAATCCAAAAATCTTTTTTACCATCCTCAGGAAACGATCAAAACTGAGAGTAATTTAATACAGGATAAAGACACATAAATAGCTATTAAGTATCCACTGCAAGTATAAGTTAAATATTAATACTTCCTAACAACCCTACTAACATTAAACAGTTAGTATAATTGCATTGCGGTTCTTCATTTCCTGTATGTACTTTAGCAGGGTGTTTATTGAAAGGAGCTATTTTTAGCCATGAGGCAATTGAATGAAATTGCCTTTGAATTGCATGTGTACATGTATGTAGAGGGGATCTGGTCTGTGAACGTACAGCTCATAGCATAAGAGGGCAGTCTGGACTTTTACATTTAGCTACGTCATGTTGAGTGGTTATTCAATTCAATTCAATTCAATTCAGAACTTTATTTCAGACTCTGCTGCACAAGGCAGAGGTCCATAAAACATATGTTACATATAGATAGGGAAAAGAGCTGAGTATAAACATAATGAGTATAATAACAAAAAAATTGTACAAATACTAAAGAGTATACAAACTAAACTATACTACATATACAATGTAACTGTAACATGTAACCTGTAACTGTAAGATTGATAACAGTAGGCCTATATCAATCTAACTCTAAGCTGTACTTGTAACTGCAATGTTAAAATAAATATATGTATAACATTGTGTTATGATACCACCCTTACTAAAATGGTGTTCATCTGCATTTACAACACCATCTAGGCTTAATAGGGGGTTGCAGATTAGTAATTTGTTAATTCTGGGGAGGGGAAGTTGGGGAATATGGGAGAGAAAATTCAATAATTTCTTTGCTGTATAAGAACATGCAGGATCTACCCACTGGATGTTGCAAATTAAATTGCTAAATTTAGCAGCATGCCTTATTCTTCAAACTGTTTAGAAAATGAAGTATTACAAAAATATTGGCATTGCAGTCCCACTTCATGTAATATTTATTGAAGCCCTGGGTTAGGTACATGAAGATGAACTTAAAAAGTGAAAGAATAATTAATATATTTGGCCCATTTCTGGGAGGAACCTCTGACATGTGCCTTACCCAGCCTTTGTGAAAGTTGAATTCCCTCTTTTTTTGGGGGGGGGGGGAGGGGGGGGGGGGGGCTGTATCACATACACATTTCCCAAAGGCAGTCAACTTTGATAAAAACATACAATGTAAACATTTACTTTTAGCTATTGAACACTATTCTTTCCTCTTTGCATTCTTCTCGGAACTCACATGTTATTTTGTCTTAACTAACAGGCTGAAAGCCAAATCACATGATAATCAATTAGCATGGGACTCCTAGCTGGCTGTGCTACCGTTTTTATTTGTAGTTGTTGTAATCATCATTCCTTCCACAGGAAATGACTCGTGATCCTACGAATTGAAAGAGAAACTATCATTGAGCAATTAGCAGGAATATGGTTTAGCCAAGCACTTTACTTTCTGAAGGTTTCATAAGTGTTGTGTAATTTCATAAACACTTGATTACAATATCAACTAAGAGCGAAGGGAATTAATTTATACCCCCAAATATGGAGTGAAAACCATCAGATGATTCTTGTTCTCTTGTATTTGCACAAATTTGAATAGGGTTTAGCCAAGCTCTTTATTTTCTGAAGGTTTCATAAGTATTTTGTTATTCAATGAACACTTGATTATAATGTCAGCTAAGATCAAACAGAATTAATTTAGACCTTCAAATATGGAGTGAATGCCATATGATGATTCTTGTTCTTGTATTTGCTTAACAAGAATTTCACTATACTTGCATGATTTTTTTTTTCTCCATTTTCTTTACTATTTAAAGAAACAAATATTCAGTATTGACAATCTGGTATTCTGAAGAGATTTCTGAAATATACTTGTTAATTAACTGGTATGAATATAAATTGGAATTTGACAAAATGCCTCCTTTCCAATCTACATGTAGGATCATACTTTACATACCGGGTACATTATATACAATACAGGGTTTATATTTGCTCATGAATTTAGAGTGGTTACATGGAATTCAGAATTATTTGTGGGTTTCACTCATTTGCATATAAAATGTACAGTATACTGGTACATGTACGTCTGCTCAAAGGCTGAGGGTAGTACATCACGTTGTTTACATAAATAAATATTTATATATATATATACCGTTATATAGTTAGGTAGTTAATGTCCTTCTTCCTCATAATAGATCTGTTAAAAACTGTGATTCGTCCTTGGAACCTAAAGATGTGATTATATCGAAGCCAAAACCTAAGCATCAAAAGCATCACAAATTTAATGATACATTGTTTATTTCCAATGTATTTTTGTACTAGTGTTAGATATTAGGGTAGTTGATCAGTGATGGTCATCTAATAAAGCTCTCATCCAATGCTCTCATTCATTTCAATAAATGCATTATTTCAGACTGTTGATGTATTTTTCATCTTCATATGTCTCTGCTTAAAACATACTTTTACATGATACCAATTTTTTTTTTCTAGAATAAAAAGCATTAGTCATCATTAAAACGCCATGATAAAACATCTTGTAAGTTTAATACAATGGACTGCTGCT